CTTGAGCAATCCACCCACCTCGGCCTCCCAGAGTGTTAGGATTACAGGCATGAGCCACCGAGCCCCGCCTCTGTACCTCTTTGATGGCAGTGTTACATTCGCTCATGCATTTTGACTATCAAGGGGGATATTGTCAGTCTCCTGCACTAAATGGTAAAGTCTTTGAAAGCTAATATTAATAAATTTGTCTTGTTATTTTTGTATCCCCAGAACTTAGCAAAGTTCCTTTACATAGCAGGCATTTATTTAATTCAAAATACATTTGTTGGCCAGGTTCAGTGGCTTTCGCTGGTAATCCTAGTACTCTGGGAGGCTGAGGTGGGAGGATCCCTTGAGCTCAGGAGTTGGAGACCAGCTTGAGCAAGAGTGAGACTCGGTCTCTACTAAAAATAGAAAAAAAATAGCTGGGTATCCTGGCATGTGCCTGTGGTTCCAGCTACTCAGGAGGCTGAAGCAGGAGGATTGCTTGAGCACAGGAGTTTGAGGTTGCAGTGAGCTATAACGACTCCACTGCACTCTACCCAGGGAGACAGAGGGAGACTCTGTCTCAAAAATAAAAACAACAAAAAACCCCACTTGTTAAACAAAGAAATGTATGTCCTGGAGGAGATGAATAAGGAAGTTTCTTTCCACTGGAGCTTACAATCTAGTGACAAAAAGAGATGCACGGTAATACGTATTAATTTAATATGAAACCCAAGGAGCAGCACTTGAGCTCTGAATATGTGGTGCTCTGGTGGGCAGGGAAGGTGGCAGGGGAGAGGCATTCAGGTTGAAGGAACTACCTTGCTGGAAGGCTGGAGGTGGGCAAGTACATGGCACATTTGGAGAACATATTGAGTAACCTTGCGACTGGTATATAGGAAGCAAGAAGGAAAATAGGAGACAAGACCAGAGAGGGGATATGAGCTGTGGATCACAGAGGACCTGCTGGGCCTTTCTCAGATGTTGGGGTTTTATTCTGGGGGCAATGAGAACTACTGAATGGTCTTTCAGGGGAGTGTAACAAATACTGAATGAAGAAATGACTCTCCTCTGTGTTTTGGGTGGATGCCATCCTGTGACCAGGCTCCATTTAGGAATATCTTACAGTGCGGGCTGAGCATCTGGGGCCAGCCTGTCCCTTGGTCAAACCACCTCTTTATGGGGTCTTTTTTCCCTTTTAAAAAGGCCATACCCAAAGATCACTTGGTCAGATTGAGAGATCTGTTCTGCCCTCTGAAACAGTTTCCTGGCCTGTTGCATGAGTTTCACATTCTGCTTTGGCTTTAGTACAGCAATCCTACTGTTTGAACGATATTACTCAGGGTTACACAGAGGAATGGAACCAATAGGAGACTATATATAAAGAGATTGACTACGAGGAATTGGCTCATGTGATTATGAGGGCTGAGAAGTCCCATGATCTGCCATTTGCAAGCTGGAGACTCAGGAAAGCTGGTGGTGTAAATTCAAGTCCAAAGGCCTGAGAACCAGGAGCGCCATTGGTGTAAGTCCTAGTCTGCGGGCAGGAAAAGACCAATGTTTCAGCTCAAGAAGGCAGGTGAAGGCAGCCACTGACAGCCACTGCCTCTTCTGAGCTGGAGACTGGCTTGAGCCCCCTAGATAATCTCTTGTCCTATGCAAGGGTGGGCGTAGGGGGGAACATCCTGTAGAGAGAAAAACATAGGCTTTAGAGTCACTCAGCCCTAGGATAGAGTCCCAGCCAAAATCACTTATAGCTACACAACCTTGGCAAAGTCACTAATCTCTCTGAGCCTTGGTTTCCTTCTCTGAAAAATGGAGATGATTATGCCTGCTCCCAAGAACTAAAGTGCAGATGAGGATAGGGACTGCCCAGCTTGCTGCCTGACACACAGCAAGTGCTCAGTAAATGGTACTTTTAAATTCATGTTTGTGGAATCAACTCGTGGCTGTTCTGCACAAGAAGAGGGAATCGGTGCTTGGAGGGAGTTATTGTTAGGTGTGTTAAATTAGGGGAATGAAGACTATACCTACCGAGTTTCCTCGAAAATAAGACAGGGTCTTATATTTATTTTTCCTCAAGAAGACACCCTAGGGCTTATTTTCAGGGGATGTGTTATTTTCCCCTCAAAGCCTCAGCTTGCAGCACGCACAGGATGGCCGGGACCTGACAGGGGGAGCCCACTTTGTTGGCTGCCACCACCTTTCCGGTCACCTCTGGGATAGTAGCTGTCACGAAGGGGCAAATGAGAAGGGCTGCTGAGACGAAATGCATGGGTTGTGCAGATACTGCTGCGTAGCCACGCCCATCACTGTCTTATTTTCGGGGTAGGGCTTCTATTGCGCAAATGCTTAGAAATCCTGCTAGGGCTTATTTTATGGGTAGGTCTTATTTTCGGGGAAACAGGGTAGTTTATCTTCACAGATCATCCCAGAGCTCCCAACCCCAGGCCCTCCATGTGGAAAGACTTAATTGTCCCCCCAGGCTAACTTCCCCTCTCTGCCTTCTGTGCCCTTCCTCCCAGCAGCTGAGGTCACAATTGACAGGCAGGCAGGGTCCTAGGCTTGACTGAATGAGGACATTGTTGCAAAGATGAGGAAACAGGAGAGGCTGTTGCAATCTGCCCTGCTTGAGGCACTCTGGGGAACCAGTGGCTCTCCCCACCCCTGCCCCCCAGTTGTGTGTTTGAGATGAGAGCACAGGTCTCAAGGCCTCCTAGAGTGATGGGAAACTGTTAGGACATGCAAGAGAGATGCTCTGGTTTTCCGGAGCTGAGCATGGAGTTTTCCCTTTGAATCGAGAGACCTACAATTATGAATCTTTCTTAGCGCTGGCATTGAGCTGCTGGCACAGGTTCAGGGAGGAAGTAGACCCATCCATGCCTAGCAGGACTTACTGTCTGGTAGGGGAGCACAGCCACACACACCTCTATTGCAAGCTGATTTGCAGGACGTACAGACCAGTGTGGTAGGAGCAGAGAGGAGGGCGGTATGAACTGTGTGGGTTGGTTGTTCTGGGTTCAACACAGAACACTTCTGTGACCAGATGTATGGGGTTTTCCCCCACACCAAGAACTCCACGGCACGCGCCAGCTGGGTGTTCTATAATTCAGTTCTGATAGTATCCACCGGGATAGCATCAAATCCCACAGGTTAAGGGCTTAGTCCTGCAAGCCTGCCCCTCACTCCAGACACCAATCACAAGAAGGTTGTGCCCCCCTGCCCTGCTTGATTTCCACTGGAAAAACAAAACAAAGAACAACAACAACAACAAAAACAAGTAGTAGGTTGTGGCCCATGTTTCTGAATAACTGGCTGGAAATCAGGGTTCCCACGACCCACCCTCCTCAGGTTGGAAAATTTGCTAGGATGGCTCCCAGAAATCAGACAAACACTTATATTTACTGGTTTATTATAAAAGATGTTACAAAGGATACAGAGGAACAGCCAGATGGAAGGGATGCATAGGGCAAGGCATGGGGAAGTGGGCACAGAGCTTCTTCCATGCCCGCTCTGGGCGCTTCACCCCCTGAGCACCTCCACTGTTCGGCAGCCTGGTAGCTCATCAAACCTTGTTTAAGAGTTCTCACTGAGCTTAATCTCCAGCCTTTCCTGGAGTTGGTGAGTGGGGATGAAGGTTCCAACCTTCTAATCACTTGGTCTTTCCAGTGACTGGCCCCAACCTAAGCAGACATGTGGGGATAAACTCTGGGATTATGGAAAAGGAGTTCATTATGAATAACAAAAGACACTTCTATCACTAAGGAAAAAAATCAGGAAATTGTGGTAAACTCAAAGGCTTACCAGATATGTTTCTCATACCCCGTGGAGAGCACTAGAACACAGGTACAAGTTAAAGTGATGGAGGGAGAGGGCAGGCCAGGCAAAGGAAGCTGCATGAACAAAGGCAAAAACAGCATGTTTAAAAAAAAAAGAAGAAACAAAACCACCCCAAAATTGAACTCATAAAGAGTAGGATGGTAGTTATCAGGGCAGGGGAGGTGGGGGGATATGAGGAGATGTTAAATCAAAACGCCCACAGTTCTTGGGTATGGCTGGGACACGTGGGTGGGGCAGTAGGAAGTGAGGACACGGATGTAAATGTGGCCTGAGTCGTCAACGCAACCGTGCCAGGCCTGAGAGGCCCAGGCTTCGCTGTGACTGTGGGACCCGGACGGCTTAGCGGCAGGGGAAAAGCGGCCTTAAGTTTTGGAGATCAAAAAAAAAAAGTTTTGGAGATCACTCGATTTAGGTATGGACAGACTGACGCCTTGCTAGGTGTTCCCTTTCTTTCATTCGACAACTATTTGTCAGATGCCTTTTTTTTTTTTTTTTTTTTTTGAAACAGAGTCTCACTTTGTTGCCCAGGCTAGAGTGAGTGCCGTGGCGTCAGCCTAGCTCACAGCAACCTCAAACTCCTGGGCTCCAGTGATCCTTCTGCCTCAGCCTCCCGGGTAGCTGGGACTACAGGCATGCGCCACCATGCCCGGCTAATTTTTTATATATATATCAGTTGGCCAATTAATTTCTTTCTATTTATAGTAGAGACGGGGTCTCGCTCTTGCTCAGGCTGGTTTTGAACTCCTGACCTTGAGCAATCCGCCCGCCTCGGCCTCCCAAGAGCTAGGATTACAGGCGTGAGCCACAGCGCCCGGCCTTGTATATATATTTTTAGTTGGTCAATTAATTTCTTTCTATTTTTGGTAGAGACGGGGTCTCGCTCAGGCTGGTTTCGAACTCCTGACCTTGAGCAATCCGCCCGCCTCGGCCTCCCAAAGTGCTAGGATTACAGGCGTGAGCCACCGCGCCCGGCCTTGTCAGATGCCTTTTATGTGCCGGAAGCTGTTGTGGGCATTGGGAAACAGGGATGAAGAAGCAGATCATGCCTTCCCTGAGGGTGCCCTCCACGTTTTACGGAAGAGGAAACCGTGGGTCTGCCTGTCTCCAGCTGGTGGCTCCGGCCCGGGCCTACGGGGCTGCAGGGCAGCGTGGCTCTGGACGGCCCCTTAGATGTCCCGACGCACGTGGGTCGGTCGGCTCGTGGGTCGTCCGGCTGCGCGCGCTGCCGGAGCCTCCAGGGCGCCCGGCCTGGCTCGGCGTCCGCCCCCAGCCCAACCCACACGTGGGCTCCCGCACGTCCGCCTGCCCCCCCCACTGACGTCAGCTTAGCTCTTCCACTTAAGGCCCCTCCCGCGCCCCGCCAAGAGTGCTGGAGTCGCTGCCGCCGAGTCCGGACGTCTTTGTCGCGCGCCTCCGACGCCCCCCGACTTGCATTCCCGGTACGGTCGGGCCCGGCGCGCACTGCGCCCGAGGGGAGGGAAGGCGAGCCGCCTCGGGCTCTGCTCGCCAGGTGCTGCTAGCAAAGGGGTCCCTGCTCGCAGGAAGTGTAGACGCGGCTTCCCAGAAGTAGACTCCCGAAACCTGCGCGCGGTGGCCCACGCCACGTGTGGGTTCGGAGCCCGCCGCGCTCTGCCTTTGCTATACGCGGGACCCGTGGCCTCTGACCGCGCTAGGGAAGGAGGAGATGGCCACACCCAACCTGAGGTCGAAAGCCCGGTGTACGCGGAAGAACAAGTAGATGACAGGTCCAAAGGGTGGGGGATATCTCTGGGCTCAAAATCGGCGAACGGCACAAAATTCGAAGTCGGGTTTCCGGAGCCCATTGAGCCAAAAAAAAAAACAAAAAAAAACTTCGGCATGTCCGGGGCGGGTTTCTGGAAGCTGGAAAGCGGCTGAGCGCCGTGCGGTTTGCATTTTTCCCGTGGGAGGCTGAGAGGTGCGCTCCCTGGGCCGGCTGCTGCCTGGAGATTATAGGGCCCCTTCTGCGTAAATTACATTAAGCAGCGATTAGCGCAGCCCATGCAAGGATGAAGCAGGCAGAGCCCCAGCCCTCCCCCACCAGAGACAGTCTGTGGAGAGTAGGATTATCCGGTTCCATCTCCTCGTTTTAACCAGCGGGAAAACGTGAACCTGAGAGAGAGTTTGGAGCGGGGGGGATGTCTAAGGTCACGAAGAGTGGGTAGCAGGGTGAGTGGTAGACCCTGTCTGCACGGCTCTCGCCATCAGATGCGCCCTCCTCCCACCCCTACATTGAAGGGAGCGCTGGAGGCAAGGGCTGAGCTTTGGGTGAAGCCAGCAGGTCTCTGCAGGAAGAACTCCCTTCCCCGTGCCAGGCTCCAGGGGCCTTACAAGGCTGTCTAGAAATAGCAGTGATTTGTAAGGAGATACCTGATTCCAGCTTGATGACTCTGGGCTGCCTGCTTGGAGGTCCTCTCAGATATTTTTGCCCTTTGGGATGGTGCCAAAACTAGACATGATGCTTTCGGGATGCAACCTGTGATGTTCCCTTCAATGAATGCAGTGCTGGGTTGGAGTAACAGAATGGAAAGCCCTTTCCCCGGCTCCGGAATTCGAGGGTTCCATTAACTTTAGGGCTCCATGCTTCAGGCCCTCTGCAGCTATTTCTGCACTCCCTGAAGCGAAAATATTTCCTCATACTGGGCTTCACGCCGTTGCAACACGGATCACAGCATAAGCTACACTCCCTCCTGTTAAGAGCCCCTAGTTCCTGATATGGTGATTAAAGTCTGGTTCTGGCCACGCGCCACGCCAGGGCCAGGGAGGCTGCCAGCCGGGTATCACGTTGCCTGCCTCTGGTTAAATCTAAAGTCTGAATCCGAGCTCCCTCCCTCCCTCTGACCCACTGAGCAGGACAGCTCCTGATTATCTCTGCTCACCCACAGGGGTTCTCAGGCTTCCGCCCTCTGGCCTAGTGCCGACCTGCCAATGGCCAGAAGCCGCTATCGTCTCCGCCCCAGTGCTCTGGATTGCGCACGCGCCCAAACTTCCTGTGCCGGCTAGTGGTTCGGATCTGGGCGGGGCGTAGGTCTCTCCACCTCTGGTCTCTGCCCCTTCTTCGTCGGGGTGGCGTGGAGAGGGGGCGCATGCGCAGAGCCCATAGCACGCTTCTCTGCCTTGAGTCGTACCTTTGGCCGTTGATGGCTCTTTTTTGCATGTACCTTTAGTCCTTGCATGAGGGGGTTGGCAGTGTATTTGTTATAGAAGCCTGAGTGGCTGAAGGAGAGCTGGGTGGGCGGCTCACTGTGATCTTGTCTAAGGAGAAGCCAGCCCCACGTGGGGTAAATAAGCCAAAATGAGTGAGCCCTCCAGAGGCTATACTTACACCCAAACGTCCGTATTATTTTTTCATGCCAAGGTGAGTTAATTCACATCAAGACCCCGGACAGATCAGAATCTGGCATTAGGCCTTTCAACTCTTCTTTAGCTACATTTTTTTCCTCCCCATTTTTAGTCATCTCTTGTGTTTTTAGTGGCAGGTACCTCAAAAGGAAGTAACCTAAGCTTTTCTCAGAACAGTTCTTGGTTAATAAACATCAAAAGGATGCAGTGACACTGAATGTTTTTCACCCTATAGATTCCTTTTGGTTCCAAATCCGGTATGGCGACTCTCAAGGATCAGCTGATTTTTAATCTTCTAAAGGAAGAACAGACCCCCCAGAATAAGATCACAGTTGTTGGGGTTGGTGCTGTTGGCATGGCATGTGCCATCAGTATCTTAATGAAGGTAAGTAGAGTCTACCACTCTGGAAGCACATACTTTGACTCCACCCTTTCCCCACTCTGTCCCCAAGAATCATACTGTATGTAAAAATATTTAGGCTCATGCACTCATTCAGAGAACTTTGCATGAAACAAATTTGAAACATAATAATATACTGAAAGGGAATCTGAAATTAATAAGTATCAAAGGACTTAATTAGTCCTTTGATTAGTCCTAATGAAAGGAATTAATAAGTATCAAAGTATCAGGATGTCAGGCTTGAGACCCAGTTCCTAAAATTCACTGTTACATATTAACATGCGTGGATTGCCTACCAATGAAAAGGAAGGGTCCATGCCTTTAAATGAGCCAGACTCTTCTAAAGTAATTTTTATTTTATTTTATTTTTTTGAGACAGAGTCTCGCTTTGTTGCCCAGGCTAGAGTGAGTGCCGTGGCATCAGCCTAGCTCACAGCAACCTCAAACTTAAGCAATCCTGCTGCCTCAGCCTCCCAAGTAGCTGGGGCAGGCCTGTGCCACCATGCCCGGCTAATTTTTTCTATATATATTAGTTGGCCAATTAATTTCTTTCTATTTATAGTAGAGATGGGGTCTCGCTTTTGCTCAGGCTGGTTTCAAACTCCTGACCTCGAGCAATCCACCCACCTCGGCTTCCCAGAGTGCTAGGATTACAGGCATGAGCCACCGTGCCTGGCCTATTTTATTTTATTTATTTATTTTTTTGAGACAGAGTCTCACTTTGTTGCCTGGGCTAGAGTGCCATGGAAGCAGCCTAGCTCACAGCAACCTCAAACTCCTGGGCTCAAGCAGTCCTTCTGCCTCAGCCTCCCTAGTAGCTGGGACTACAGGCATGCACCACCATGCCCGGCTAATATTTTCTATATAGTAGATGTCCAATTAACTTCTTTCTATTTTTGGTAGAGACAGGGTCCTGCTCTTACTCATGCTGGTCTTAAACTCCTGAGCTTAAATGATGCACCTGCTTCGGCCTCACAGAGTGCTAGGATTATAGGCGTGAGCCACCATGCTCGGCCTTCTAAAGTAATTTTTGAATTGAAAATGACACATACATATGGTAAAATTAAGATCATGCTAATGTGAGAAATCTTAAGTTCTCCTCCCACCCAAACCCCATTGTCCCTCCTGCCTTGGATGGCAATTTTGTTATCCATTATGGAGCTAAAATTTAATTAGAAAAAAGAACTTGTGAGTAAAGAACTTCTTATTACAGTACTGGAACCTGGTTTATATCAAAAAGAAATTGAGCTGGCTTATAATATTAAAATACTTTAAGTTCAAAGATTTGAAATTCCTAATAAGAGCAAAATAATGAATTCTGGGTCCTGAATAGAAATGGATTGAAGTGAGAAGGAACTAAAGGCAAAAATGAGCTATGCAAAGGTCTTGTAACAACATAGGTTGCTCTATATTGTTCTTAGAAGAGGCCACATAATACTCCAACTTTTATTCATTACTCACTGGACCAGAAATTAGTGCCTTCTGTTTCCCTCACACCTATGAATGCCAGTGGTCTTTTTCTGTGATGGCCTCTGACTCAGGTGTGGGTAAGAATACCTGCCAGATCACTAATAATTGATTTAAGGGTAGATCTGCAGCTACAATAACCTTTTTTGGTAACAACAAACCACATCCCATTTGTATTAAAGCTATTGTTGGTGGCTCCTGGTCCTAGATACACCTACAAACTTTTATAGGTTCAACTGCAAGAATATTTTTTGCCAATATTATGCAGTGCACAAATCTGTCTTTATGCAGAACTGTTAGTATTGGTTCATATATGGAAATAACCAGGGGATAGTCCAGAATATTGCTTTTTAATTCCAAGTCTTGATACTGGTCAACATCACGTATTTAAAATTGGTGTGTAAAACTAAATTTGAGAGAGTAAATAGAGCAGTTTTACATAATTGGAAGTTATTCTGACTACTGCCAATCCAGAGCTCTGCCTTCACACCAGTGGTGGTAGAACTCCTGTAGAGGTTGCTCCAGTGGGGAAATAGGGCTGAAGATAGGGTCAGTGTTATGTATGGGGTCATTTGTGAGTCGGCTTTTTAAGTGTGGGCCTGCCTCTACTTGGAAGTATATCCTGATACTGTACTAATAAGGTAGCAGAACTCTACTATGCCAGAATATAGAAATTTTACATGTCCTTCCAAAAATCTAGAAGTATCCATTTCCCATTTAACTAAAGATTTTATGTCTTTTAGGACTTGGCAGATGAGCTTGCTCTTGTTGATGTCATTGAAGACAAATTGAAGGGCGAGATGATGGATCTCCAACATGGCAGCCTTTTCCTTAGAACACCAAAAATTGTCTCCAGCAAAGGTTGATGTCAACAAGTTTATATTATAGTTGCTCGAAATCTTAGCTCTTCAAAGCTTTTCTCTTTTATAGAGGATAGGAGAGCCTGGGGATAATTTTGCATTGGTGCCTGTAGATATCAAAATTTCAGTTTCTAGTAAATGGTTTTAAATGGAGATCCAATTTGTCCATGATATGGAAAGCATTTGAGTTAGAGTGTAATGAGTAAAGCTCCAAACTTTAGGTCTATATTTAACCACATTCTTTCAAATACTTAAGTATACTTACTCCTCCTCCCCAGTCCTTTTCACACATGTAACACAAAGTTGAGAATAGGGCAGATGAGCCTGTTCAGCAGATATTCTTGGCTTGACCCTTTCACACTTATTAGTACCAGCCAGGAAACCTGAACATGAGCCCAAATAGTATGTTTTGATACTTGAAAATCATTGGCCACTTATCTGATAAGTTACTCCCTTCATCATCTAATCCCTGGGTTAACTGTCTTGTTCTACAGGGTAACTAACTAGAAGCAAAAATATGCTTGTTAAGGGTAAAGATGTCTCTGCTTAAAAAAAAAAAAAAAGAAAGATGTATACCATGGAGTGCTACTCGGCTATGAGAAACAATGGTGATCTAGCACCTCTTGTATTTTCCTGGATAGAGCTGGAACCCATTCTACTAAGTGAAATATCCCAAGAATGATAAAATAAGCACCACATGTACTCACCAGCAGATTGGTTTCTCTGATCAATACCTAAGTGGACATATAGGAATAACATTTATCAGGCGTTGGACAGATGGAAGGGGAGAGGATGGGATGAGTATATACATACATAATGAGTATGATGCATACCATCTAGGGGATGGACACGCTTGAAGCTCTGACTGGGGAGAGGGAGGGAAGGCAACACATGTAACCTAAACATTTGTACCCCCATAATATGCTGAAATAAAAAGAAAAAAAAAGAGAAAAGAAAGAAAATGAACAAAAGATGAGAAAATTGCCTGTCCCTAGGCTGATAGGATGATAGTTAAGTATTAATAGTTACGTAGAGGCCGGGTGTGGTGGCTCACACCTGTAATCCTAACACTCTGGGAGGCTGAGGCGGGTGGATCGCTGAAGGCCAAGAGTTCAAAACCAGTCTGAGCAAGAGCGAGACCCCATCTCTACTAAAAATAGAAAGAAATTAATTGGCCAACTAAAAATATACAGAAAAAATTAGCCAGGCATAGTGGCGCATGCCTATAGTCCCAGCTACTCGGGAGTTCTGCTTTGGCCTAGGATTGCTTTAGTCTAGGAGTTTGAGGTTGCTGTGAACTAGGCCAATACCACGGCACTCTAGCCCAGGCAACACAGTGAGACTTGGTCTCTAGAAAAAAAAAAGTTAAGTAGAAATAGGAATTTGGAAGAATGTGAGCACTGAGCTCAGATAGTAAAAAAAATTAGAGAATGTATAAAGAATTGATATGAGAATCAAATTACAAACTTCATTCCTTCTATCTCCTCCCAATTGTAGTTATATAAGATTACAATGTGATTAACACTAGACTACAAGGAAGGTGTTGACGAACTCTTCTTTCATTTAAGAGGCCACAATAATAAAACTAAAAACCAAAGGAAGCGTCTAGGTAGCATTGGTAGCATTTATCTGTCACACACAACACTGATGAAATTGTTAATGAAGTTAATGAGGCCAGGTGTGGTGGCTCACACCTGTAATCCTAGCACTTTGGGAGGCCAAGGCAGGAGGATTGCTTGAGTTCAGGAGTTCGAGACCAACCTGAGTAAAAGATGCATACATCTAGCGCAGGATGGACACCGCTTGAAGTCCTGACGGGGAGAGGGAGGGAAGGCAACACATGTAACCTAAACATTTGTACCCCCCATATATGCTGAAATAAAAAGAAAAAAAAGAGAAAAGAAGAAAATGAACAAAGATGAGAAAATTGCCTGTCCCTAGGCTGATAGGTGATAGTTAAGTATTAATCAGTTACGTAGAGGCCGCGGGTGTGGTGGCCTCACACCTGTAATCCTGCACTTTGGCCAAGGTCCAAGGCAGGAGGATTGGCTTGCAGTTCAGGATTTTCCGAGACCCGCAACCTGAGTAAAAGGACAGACCCTCATCATTACCAAGAAATCAGAAAAATAGCGCAGAAGTGGTAGCGTATGTCTGTAGTCCCAGGCTACTGGCGGGCTGACCGACACGGACGATCGTTTGAGGTTGCAGTGAGCTATGATGACGCCGCTGCATCTAGCTGGGATGACAGAACAGCCCTATCCCCAAAAGAGACTAAAAAAACAAGTTAATGGAGCAAATTTTTTGTTGGCTAGATTAAAAATTTCTCTTGAGGCCTTCATCTGGTCATTGTTTCCTCTTTCTCTAGACTCTATACATGTAACTGCAAACTCCAAGTTGGTTATTGTCACAGCTGGGGCACGTCAGCAAGTAGGGAGAAAGCCGTCTTAAATTTATGCATACATCTAGCGCAGGATGAGACACCGCTTGAAGCTGCACGGGAGAGGGAGGGAAGGCAACATGTAACCTAAACATTTGTACCCCATAATATGTGAAATAAAAAGAAAAAAAAGAGAAAAGAAAGAAAATGAACAAAGATGAGAAAATTGCCTGTCCCTAGCCTGATAGGATGATAGTAAGTATTAATAGTTACGTAGAGGCCGCGGGTGTGTGGCTCACACCTGTAATCCTAGCACTTTGGCAGCGCCAAGGCAGGAGGATTGCTTGCGTTCAGGATTTTCCGAGACCCGCAACCTGAGTCAAAAGGACAGAC